AAAAAAAAATGGCCTAGACAGTTACTTTTTATTTTATCGTCGTGGCTTTTTGCACAGCTGGAGGATATTTATGCCTCAAGGTGTCATTTTGTCATCATCTGGGAAAAATCCAATGGTTCGAGGATTCAGTGATATTCCCTCAGTCATAGCAATTGTCATTTATTTTTAATTGAACATTGCGATTTTCCTTTCACTCGTTATTCCTTATCAATATTTTTTTCATCTCCAATTCCATAAAATAATTTGAATTCTCCATTGACAAAATCATTTCTATTAAATCTTCTGTATTATTAATAATAATAATCACAATAATATTTAATCAATTTAAATAGAAATTAAATGTGAATATTAAGCCTTTGCATTAAAAATTTTTATAATTTTTCCCATTTTCAATAATTAATTCAATGAAATGAGGATTAAGAAAAAAAAAAAATTCAGTGCAAAGTTATTGAAAAAATGTTTATAGAAGCAACAATAAATCCATCATTCTCACGGTAATATCTTTGCAATTTCGTTGAATAATTCAATAATTTGCCGGTGATCGATAGATTATCCATAAAATTGTTGCAACACCGGAGTAAAAACCGGAAAAGGCGAGGGACATTGGCACTGACCCCCAGACATCTATCCAGGAATACTATTCGACTCTCGTAAAAATATTTCACCTCCAATAAAAATAATCAATTGGCAATATCAATAACCGATTGGCTCACCCCAACCGGCAAAATTCACCGTGAAATTCTACTTTCTTTTATTCCATACTTGGAATTCTTTCCAATCAATGTCAATGCAACTTTCATTTGTATTAAATCAAAACAGTGAAAGATCATCATTGAAATTTCTCTAGAAATTCATCCGTTAAAAACCCATCAATAATCCATAAAAACCATATAAATAATATTATAATAGAAAATATATTTATATTAACCACTGAATACCCGTGAAACTACAGATTAAATTGTTAACTCAACATTAATCATTTATTTCAATGATTGAATTATTCTGGGATCTAGGGGAATGATTTATTTAAATAATTGAATTTTCCCGGGGTTCAGGAAAATGAAAATTTCGAGAAAATATGTGCTAAATGGAAATTATTTATATCTATCAATATTGCATTCAATTACCACGTGTAACAAATTATTCTAATGTAATTCGATTTTTCTTAATTAATTCCCTCGTAATTTACCGATTTATC